TATCTGCTCGCCACAGCAGGATCCAACAGTTACGCAGGCCAGGTAAGACTTTATACAAAGAACCCACTAAAAGCAGTTTTAGCTAACATACAGTTGTAGACTGGTCAGTTAATTTCTCTCCCATTATTAATGTTCATGTAAGTGTAATGCAGGTGACTGGCATTTATCAGTTTACTTGTTTGAAGCATTATCTAGATTTTGTCTACATTTCTGTCATTCTGGAACTCGTTACTTTCAAGTCTGCTTGTAAATCTTGATTCATAATTTAAACTATTAGTGGGGGTGCTCCTACTGGACAGTAGTGCTTATGTATGCTTTTGCTTGCTCACCAATGAAGAGGGTGCACTTTATCCTTTTATAGAGCTATTCAATGATGGGATACAGTGCAAACAGGCCTGGTGCCTGTCACATGTGAAGAGCTCTTCAAAGCCACCTGGAATAGGGAAAAGAGCAAGCAGGGCCAGGTGGGATTAGGGCAATGTGTCATTTATTTCCAAGATGTTTCCAGGCTGTCCTTTAAGAGAATCAGTTAATTTCAAATTAGCAAAAATAGGCACTGTGATTATATGGAGCAACTTCCAGTACAAGCCCTAGTGGATCCTATAAAATAGTGTTGGAAAAAAAAGTTGATGTAGTACAGCTAGATGTACAGATAAACCCTAAAATGGTAATTTGTCACAGGTGTAATTTAATTGATCCCTAACATGAGAAAGAAAAATGTTAGGTTTTAGTAAATCTTTTTTTTTTAACAGCTTTTCAAACACTGATCATCTTTTACCTATCATAAAGTGAGCTGATCTTTAATAGCTGTTACGCTTCCTAACTTCAGTCCTGCACAGAGTATTGATGAGAAAGTCTTTCCAGTACCTCAGTAAAGAAAATTAATGCTCTCTTTTGTACACCTTTATAGTGTACAGAAGCTTTATAGTGCCATACATCTCCTATACAGCAGGAGTGATGTTTTCAGCCTTGCAGCACAGCTTGTAGTCCAGTGGATTCTAGCACTGCTGTAAGCAGCAAGCTTCCCTCCCGTGCAGTAGTGCCTTCTGGCTATAGAAATACCACCCTGATTACTGAAGGCTGTTTGTGATCTACTCCTGTGTTGTTTCCCTTAAGAAAGAGCACTTTGTTTTCCCTAACCAGCCGCCCCA